AATTGTATGCCAACAAATTAGATAAACTAGATGAAAAGGACACATTCCAAGGAAAACACAAGCTACTTAAACTGATTGAAGAAGAAACAGAAAACCTGAATAGACCTATAACAAGCAATTAAATGAGTAGTAGTTAGTAGCAGCAGCAGCAGTAGTAGTAAAACGTTTCACAAGGAAAAGTTATGGTCCAGATGGCATAACTTGTGAATTTTAGCAATTGTTTAAAGAGTGCTTGCCCAGGTTGGATGCATGAGACAAGTGCTCAGGCCTGGTGCACTGGGAAGACCCAGAGGGATGGGGTGGAGAGGGAGGTGGGAGGGGGGACCGGAATGGGGAATACATGTAAATCCATGGCTAATTCATTTCAATGTATGACAAAAACCACTGCAATGTTGTAAAGTAATTAGCCTCCAACAAATAAAAATAAATGGAAGAAAAAAAAAAAATAGAGTGCTAATACCTTGCAAACTCTTCCCCTACAAAAAAAAAAAAAAGAGAGAGAGAGAGAGAGTGAACGCCTCCTAGCTCGTTTTATGAGGCCACTATTACTCAGACAAAGTCTTCACAAGAAATGAAAATGACAGACCAATATACCTTATATAAAGATAAGTAGCAAAATAGTAGTAAACTTTTCCCGGAAACAGGTAAAACGGATTATACAGTAATGACCATGTGAGATTTATCCTGCGGACACAAGGTTGGTTTAACATATGAAAATCAATATATGTAATGTACCTTTTAATGGAATAATGGACAAAACTCAAGTGTTCATCTCAAAAAATGAAAAAAAGCATTTGAGAAAATATAACACTTTTTTTCTCTTAAAAACAATCAACAAACTAGGACTAGAAGAGGTATTCCTCAACCTGATTAATTGACATTTATTAAAAACCCACAACTAATATGATACTTCAAAGTGAAAGACGGAAAGCTTTTTCTCTAGAATTGAGAACAAGACAAAAATGTCCACTCTCCCCACTTCTCCTCAGCATTACATTTGAAGTTCTTACTGGGGCAATTAGACAAGAAAAAGAAAGAAAGCCAACAACATTTGAAAGGAAAAAGTAACTCTAAATCTGTTTGCAGATGGCTTGATCTTGTACATGGAAAATTCTAAAGAGCCCACACAAAAAATTATAATTAATAAGTGAATTTGTCAGAGTTGTAGGGTACACAATCAATTGTAATTGCACTAGAAATTAATAATTCCAAAATAAAATTAAGAATGTAATTTCACTTATAACAGCACAGAAATAAATGAAATATTTAGATAAATCTAACAAAAGAAGTAAGCTTGTTTTTCCTTTTGAATCAATACTTTATTTTCTCAACATATACAGTGATATTCTTTTCTTAAAAGTTTTTTATTGGCATATGCATATGTGCATGTTAAGTTGCTTCAATTGTGTCCAACTCTTTTCGACCTTATGGACTGTAGCCCGCTAGGCTCCTCTGTTCGTGGGATTCTCCAGGCAAGAATACTGGACTGGGTTGTCATGCCCTCCTCCAGAGGATCTTTCCTACCCAGGGATCGAAACTGCATCTCTTATGTCTCCTGCATTGGCAGGCAGGTTCTTTACCACTAGTGCCACCTGGGAAACCCTGATTATTCTCTAACACTTGCTTTGGAAATAAATCCCAGGATGAATATGGAGCTCATTTCATGTGCTTCTCTCTGATTCAAATCCTGCCTGCTGAGGTTACTCATCAGTTCCTTCCAAGAGTTGTTTCTGTATTTTTCTATATTTATATCTTTTTGTCCTGGCATGCTGCAGTCCATAGGGTTTCAAAGAGTCAGATATGACTGGCTGACTGAACAACAAGAAGACATTTATACATATGTATGTGTGTGTATTATATATATATAATACTTACATATTTATAAATATTTATATATTCTATTGTATCCTTTCCCCCACCCAAGGTGGGAAAAGTCACTCTGATACATGCTTCTCCATCCTAGCTAAAACTGGATGTTTCAACACTTCTTAGCTTTTGAGTTTGCTGTGACTTCATTGAACTCTTTATCTGCCTCAACTAATGAAAATGGTATATACATTTTAAATTTGGGAACCCCATTCCTTTTAATTTGTATATTGGATAAAATCTATCGCTAGTCTATGGGCAAAGCCAAAGTCCGGGTCTGCTAGGAAAGCAACTTCTACTAATAGTATTGTTGTTGTTTGGTCGCTGAGTTGTGTCTGACTCTTTGCGACCCCATGGACTACAGCACCCAGGCTTCCCTGTCTTTCACCATCTCCCAGAGCCCATTCAAACTCATGTCCATTGAGTTGGTGATGCCATCCAACTACCTCATCCTCTGTTGTCCCTGTCTCCTGCCTTTGATCTTTCCCAGCACGAGGGTCTTTTCTAATGAGTCAGCTCTTCGCATTAGGTGGCCAAAGTATTGGAGCTTCAGCTTCAGCATCAGTCCTTTCAGTGAATATTCAGGGTTGATTTCTTTTAGGATTGACTGGTTTGTTCTCCTTGCTGTCCAAGGGACGCTCAAGAGTCTTCTCCAGCACCACAATTTGAAGGCATCAATTCTTCGGTGCTCAGTCTAATAGGATTAGAAGCCAGATTTCAGAGAATTAGGTGGTAAAAAATGTATGTATGTATGTCAGGAGGTATAGACATCAAATGTATACAGTGTATGTAAGCAAACTGGTTATGAAGGGAAATGAGAGAGATGGTGGTGGTAAGAGGAGGGAGAGAAATGAGAGATATGATAGAGTTTAAAGGGAGAAGTCTTTGTTTTAGGGATGAGGAAACGTGAACATGTTTATAGGCGCAGTATGTTGCTAATAGAAAAAGGGTGGCCAAAAAATATTAAGCCAACAAAAGATAATTAAGAATTTTCTAGTAGAGATGAGGGTCTTTCAAAGTGGCTCAGTGGTAAAGAATCTGCCTGCTAAGCAGGAGACACAGGTTCACTCCCTGAGTCAAGAAGACCCCTGGGAGAAGGAAATGTTAACCCACTCCAGTATTCTTGCCTGGGAAATTCCATGGACAGAGGAGCCTGGCAGACTCCAGTCCAAGGAGTCAGAAAGGAGTTGGACATGACTAAGCAACTAAACAACAACAAAAAGTAGAGATGAGAGTCATAAATTGCTTCAGTAAGATAGATTAGGGGGAAAAAAATGTAAAGATACAGATTAAGTTAGGTTTGAAAGAAAGAATGATTAGGTACCTGATAATGTCATTTTCTGGAAGCAGCTGGAATCATGATGGGAGAGAACACTTAAAGAAATAGTAAAGAAGTGGAATTAAAGACTGGATGAGTTGCATGAGTAAGCTATATCTCTGGTGATACCCAGTTCGGGGGCTCAGGCAACTTTGTGGATGGTAGTGTTGGAGTTAATAAAACAGAAGAATGAACAGCAGAAAAAAAATGACTTAAGAGTTCACCTTTATTCTCACTGAGTGACTATTGCCTATGAACCTTGGGATCCATACTACCCACTAAAAGATAAAACTTGTCCCTTTCAGGCCTTGCAAATTACAATGGGATTTTGTTTCTTGTTGTTTAGTCACTAAGTTATGTCCGACTCTTTCGTGACCCCATGGACTGTAGCCCATTAGGCTCCTCTGTTCATGGGATTCTCCAGGCAAGAATACTGGAGTGTGTTGCCATTTCCTTCTCAAGGGGATCTTCCCGACCCAGGGATAGAACCCACATCTCCTGCATTGGCAGGTGGATTCTTTACCACTGAGCCATCAAGGAAGCCCTACAATGGGGTTACCTCCCTATAAACCCATCATAAAGCAAAAATATCTTGTCAAAAGGCGTTTTGTATACCTAACCGACCAAACATCACAGCTTAGACTAGGCTGCCTTACCCATGCTCAGAACACCTAATTAGCCTACAGCTGGTCAAAATCATCTAACACAAAGCCTATTTTTTCATAGTGTGGAATATCTCATGTAATAATTTAATGACTGTTACACTGAAAGTGAAAAACAGAATGGTTGTATGGGTACAGAGTAGTTATAAATGTACCTGACTGGGAGCCCAGCATCACCAGAGAGTGTTGCCCCATATCTCCAGTCCAGGAAAAGATCAAAATTCAAAATTCTGATCTGGTTTCCACTGAATGCATATCACATTCACACCATGGTGAAGTCCAAAAATCGTTAAGTGGAACCAGTAAGCTGAGACTGCTGTTATAGAATGGTACAGTAGAAGCATTCTGCTTTGCTGGAGACTCAGCTTCCATTCTTAGAAAACACTGGAAAATAAGAAAACGGGTTTTTGGAACAAACATTGAGTGGAAGATTTATTTGATCAGTGAACTTTTTTTTTAATCATGAAAACACCCTTTTGACTTGATAGCAGATACCAAGTTGTATATATTTTACTATGAGTTCTTCATGGAAAATGGCAATCAGAAAGTCTCAACTGAAAGAAAAATTGAGGTTGTTTATGAGAAAGGTTTTTATAATAACTAAAGGGAAAATTGAAAGGAAAGAAGATTTTAAAAGAGGGAAAGGTGGCTACACAACAAACCTGGGGAAGTAATGATTCTGAGGAGAGAATAATGTAAAATATAAGAGGATGATGGGTTTGGAGGGTGGAGGACAAAAACCAGGAAAATATGGAGAGAAGGAGTGAGAGGAGAAAATTTTGAGGTTGGAAATTGAAGACAGTGATAATGGAGCAGATAGGAAGCAAAGAGAAAGGAGGTCTGGTAATGAAAAGCTCTCCAGGTTGACGTAGTGGGTGGGGAGAAAAAAAGGGGAGATGACAGAGGGTGCAGAGGCAGCGGCGAGTGTTTGTGGGAGAGGGACCGAAGCGATCTGGGCGGAGCAGGTGGCGGAGGCAGCGCGGAGGCCTGGTCTTCCCAGGTTTCCACCGCGCCAGGGGCAACTGGAATGGATAGCATCCTCGCCTATGGATAGCATCCTCGCCGAGATGATGCGTCCTGGCAGTGCGAGAAGACCTTAGGAAAACCAAGCAGGGACGGTAACTAGGACTAGGCTGGTCAGGGCCGGGAAATTCATGAAGAGGACTGACAGCGGGTCCTGCTGCCGCCGCCGCTGCGACTGCGGCTGCTGCTGCCGCGCGGTCCGCCGGGCGCACCACGCGCCCTACTGGTCCAGGGACGCGGCGCGAACACCGCCGTCCTCGCGGCAGTCTCCCGGCCGGGAACGACGGCATCCCGAGCCGGCCGGGAGCTGGGCAGCAGCGGCCGAGGAGGAAGAGGCAGCCGCGGCAGCCGCACCCTGGATGAGGTGAGCGCACCGCGGGAGCCCGGGAGGCTGCAGACTGCGCCGGCAGTGGCGGCGCCCGAAGCGCTGGTTTAGAGGAACCGCCTTCGGGCCTGGGAGTCAGGGCTGGAGACCCGGGCGCTTCGGAGGGGTTGACACAGAGGGACATTAGTTTGGAGAAGGTTGAAGGGCACGGCTGGGGACTGGGGGATGATGGGGCTGGTGGCCGGGGCGGAGGGGGCGAGACAGTAGGGAGTTGCCTGGAAATACAGGTGTGGCGCTGGATTGGCTCTGGACTAAAGCTTAGGAAACTCAGTCTCTACCCCTAAGGTCTTTGCTTAACGTGTAGTCAGGGGCTCTGTAGGCGGAGATGAGACTGAAGGCCGTGCCTGCTGGGTCAAGTCAAACGAGAGATGAACACAGGATTCAGAAGGCCATGCCAGGCTGAAAGCACTAGGGATGCTATCAGAAGATAAAGGACCAGGAAATGCATGTGGGGGTACAGTTGAAAGCACTGCCTTATCTTATTCCTGCCCCCCCTCCCCGCCCCATCTTAGATACAGACAGCAGGGTGGGGTAGTGATGGTTCACTAGATACAGATACGTACAGGGTGGGGTAGTGATGGTTCCTTCTTCCTAGGCTCTCTTTCCCTGAAGATCTGGGGCCCTGCCTGTTGGCTGGCTGGATGATGCCAGCAGGACGAGCCCCACCTAAACCCAGTCACTTCCTTTGGAAGACCCGACCCATTAGGCCCAAATTTTCTTAGCAGCAGCAGGATGAAAATCTGCCGTATAATTTTTTTTTTTTACAAGAGACAGATTGTGCTGCTGACTTCTTGAAATAAATCTCTCCCTGTTGGAGCATCTTTAGCTTATCCTTTAATGGGAAGCTAGTACTCATAAATCAAACTACAGGGCAATATTGATTTCAGCATGGAGGCTGCCATTAACTAACGGGGGATCTGAAAAAAAAACATTTCATTTCTGTAGGCCTGTTTCCTATGCATAAAACCAGAATTTGGGTCTTTTGAGTATTAGTTACAGATCTGCATATTAATAGGATCTGTATTTTGTGTTCAAGACTATGTTGTATTTGTGAACGAGGAAACAATTTATTCAGACCCTTAATTGTGTTTATTCATCACACTATTCATTGTTTGAGAAAACTGAGTCAGGCTATTCAGTTAACAGCGCTTAAAGGAATCACAATTATGAAGAAATCCAAGATAAATTACTGCCTTGAAAGATGGAAGCAGGCAAGAAGTAGTCATTATTTATTCTTTATAAAGTGGAATTTTAGCCCAAATATAATTACTTTTTAAACATGTTCTATCTATGATGTGTTGAATATTTTCCAACAATACTTTGGAAATTTTTTTAAAGCCCCCCCCCCCAAATTAATCTGAATATATTTAAATTTTAAATTCTTCTTTACTATTTTATATATGCTAGAGTGAACACTTTTCATCAAAAGAAGCATTGCCATTGCAAAATTTTAAATGAGTCATGACTGTATCATAAACATGTGATTTTTCTGTCTTTGGCAACAAAAAATTTGTTGAGTTAGAATTAGGTTCTCTAAATTGTGACTTAATTGTTAAAATAGATGGATATGCTTTTGTTATTCCCTTAATAGTTATTCATCTGACAGATCTCTACATTCATCTTAGTTGATGTGATGATGTTCCTTGAAATGTTTTTAAACATTTCAGGGATGCCCTGAAGTCAGAAACTTCACTGAGGTTGATGCTACTGTGACCTCATTTAAAAATTGGATCTCCAGGAATGTGCAGCATACTTTTAAAAACATACCTATCTTAGCTCTAGTACTAGAAGTTTATGAGTATTAGAGGCTTGCACTTAGGAGAAAGTATCTTTGGTATCCAGTTTTCTAACTCCTGATCAACTAAAAATGCAAGAAAGCAGCTCATTTTTTTATATTTTAATTTCTTTTTAATTGGAGGATAATTGCTTTACAATATTTTGTTGGTTTTTGCAATACATCAACATGAATCAGCCATAGATATATGTATCTTCCCTCCCTCTTGAGCTCCCTCCCATCCCCCACCCCATTCCACCCCTCTAGTTGTCACAGAGCAAGTGATTTGAACTCTATTGTACAGCAGATTTCACTGGCTACCTAATTTTACATATGGTAATGTATATGTTTCAAGGCTACTGTCTCGATTCATCCCATACTCTCCTTCCCTCACTGTGACCACAAGTCTGTTCTCTATGTCTGTGTCTCCATTGCTGCCCTACAAATAGATTCATCGGTACCATCTTTCTAGATTCCATATATACGCATTAGTATACGACATTTGTTTTTCTCTTTCTGACTTACTTAACACTGTATAATAGGCTCTAGATTTAGCCCCCTCATTAGAACTAACTCAAATGCACTCCTTTTTATGGCTGAGTAATAGTCCATTGTATGTATGAAAGCAGCTCATTTTAATTCAGTGTTTTTAAATCAAGCAATGATGGTGGAAGTCAGTATAAAATTGGATGCAAACTACCCTCAGGTAGTCGAGAACCTATAGTTCTAAACTCTGCTTACCTATGTAACTACAGTGTGGAATAAGTGTTATAATAGTAAGATGGACTATGGAAAATAAATAAATAAATGCAAACATCTCTCCAAGGAAAGCTGACTCTGTCCCAAGAGACCATGCAAGGTGGCATTATTGTGCAAACTGTGCTTTATTTGTTTAGTCTGTTTCTCAGACTGATTATTAAATTCACATGGCTACTATATAAAGCCTGGATGGCAAATTACTAATTTACAATGAGGAGTCATCTTAGGGAACTAGATCCTCTTTTTATGTCAGTGAGTTCTCTTGGCATACTTGCCACATTTGGAAGCAAAATTGTAATTAAAAGGTTGTTTGTGAAACTTGGATTTAGAATTGCTGTTATGTGTGTGTGCTCAGTTGTGTCTGACTCTTTGCAACCCTATGGACTATAGCCCTCCAGACTCCTCTGTCCGTGGGAGTTTTTAGGCAAGAATACTGGAGTGGGTTGCTATTTCATGCTCCAAGGGATCCTCCTGGCCCAGAAATCAAACCTGAGTCTCCTGTTTCTCCTGCATTGGCAGGTAAATTCTTTACCACTGAGCCACCTGGGGAACCCTAATTTAGAATCAGGAGAATTAGTGAATTCTAAATTAAGGGAAAACAGCTTTGAACAGAGTATCAGAGGATACAAATGGGTTCTTTCTTCCCTGGATGCTGAGTGTCATTAAGGATTAACCTCTCTTCTCATGTGGACCTTCTTTTTTTCTCTGACATGAATATTTTCAGGTAATTGTTTGGTTTGGGAATCTTTATGTCTGTTTCAAGTGCCTGCACATTTCTGCTCTGAACCAGTTTATCTTCACTGTCAAGTTTAAACTCCAAATGGCAAGGTGACTTTGCTTAGGTAAAAGTCATCATGGGAAAAAAAAAGTCATCATGGGGATAGGGAAATATGGTTGGGAGATGTTGCTAAAGCCCCTATGAGCTGGTAATATGAACCATGTGGTTAATGGCAACTGGATACAATGCTAAGAGGCAGAGAATTAGAGAGGGCTTCACACACACACACACACACACACACACACACACACACACACACAACTTTTTCTAGCCTAGCAAGATAAGGAAGCCAGAATTGGCTGGGAAGTAAATTTTAGCAGAGGGATATAAGCAAATGTATGGCCTTGGGAATACATTCATGGTCTCTTCAGGTGAGACCCATGCTGTGCTAGAACTTTTTTTTTTCCCATTTATTTTTATTAGTTGGAGGCTAATTACTTTACAATATTGTAGTGGTTTTTGCTGCACATTGACATGAATCAGCCATGGATTTACATGTGTTCCCCATCCTGAACCCTGCTCCTGCCTCCCTCCTCACCCCATCCCTCTGGTGGGTCTTCCCAGTGCACCAGCCCTGAGCACTTGTCTCATGCATCCAACCTGGGCTGGTGATCTGTTTCACCCTTGACAGTATACTTGTTTCAATGCTATTCTCTCAGAATATCCCACCCTCGCCTTCTTCCACAGAGTCCCAAAGAGACACGTGTACCCCAATGTTCATCGCAGCACTGTTTATAATAGCCAGGACATGGAAGCAACCTGAATGCCCATCAGCAGACGAATGGATAAGGAAGCTATGGTACATATATGCACAATGGAATATTACTCAGCCATTAAAAAAATTCATTTGAATCAGTTCTAATGAGATGGATAAAACTGGAGCCCATTATACAGAGTGAAGTAAGCCAGAAAGATAAAGACCAATACAGTATACTAATGCATATATATGGAATTTAAAAAGATGGTAATGATAACCCTATATGCAAAACAGAAAAAGAGACACAGATGTACAGAAAAGAACTTTTCTATGATGATTTAATTCAGAGATGACCCTCTTACAAGCACACAACTATTTAAAAAAGAAGAATTGAGTGGCCAGCTGATGGTCATGCACTTCAATGTGCGCTTGTTTTTGCCCCCTTTTAAACAATTTTATTGAAGCATATTTGATTTACAATCTTGTGTTAATTTCTGCTGTACAGCAAAGGAATTATGTTTAATATTCTATAATGTGCAGTTTTGAAGCCTAGCAGATTGCACATTCTAGATGTATAGCCTGGAACCAGCAGACAGGTGTCAGAATTAAGGGTGAGGGATGATGTCAGAGAAAGATCAGTGCATTTCTAACATCAAACATCAGCCATTATGTCTCTTTAGCCATCTCTCAGTTATTTTTTTTTTTACTGCTTTATTGAGATATAATTGACATAGAATAAACTGGGCAAATTTAAAATGTAAAATCTGAAAAGTTTATATATATTTATGTATGTATATATTTGTGAAAGCATTACATGTCCATAATCCTAAAAAGTTTTCTTTTGCCCTCTTTTAATCCCTACCTTCTGTAACCTCCTGCCTGACTAACACACAGGAAACCACTGTTCCTTTTGTCACTACATGATAGTTTGCATTTTCTATAATTAATAGAATTAATTGCATTTTATGTAA